TCAATTCCTAATAAACGCATTGCTAATATAATTCGGCGATTAATTTCGTATCCTTTATCAATAAATGAACTGTTCGGAATACAAATGTTTTCACCTTTTTCACAAGAAATAACGATTTTAAACCCCAGGCCATGTTTAGCCGTCTCGGTGAACGACACATTTGTCCCGCACTTTTTACATACAACATTATCCGAAATAACAGAGAAAACAGCCACGAAATTAATTAAACGATAACCGAACGATTGATTTACTTCAATGTCGTCGTTGTCCGCAGACATTCTCAGCTTCTTGGCGGAGGTGCTCATTACCCGAACAGCCTTCCGCTTCATACCGGTTCATCGGCCGATGATGAGTCTTTAAAACCAAGTATACCTTATTCTTAACACTATAAAGTACACTTTTAGCGAAAAAAAATTTTGCATTTTTTGAAAATTCTAGACTGGTATAACCCCTTAATATAGCTAGTATATGCTTTGAGGTATAAGATTGTATATGATTGGATAAAAACATATAAAATATAAGATATAATAAAAAATAATTATAAATTATGTAATTTATATAATTTATATAAAAATTATAATTAGGAATTATAATTTAGAGGAAATTGAACAAATCAGGTACTCATTTAAATCAATGAATAATAATAATGTTTAACATGATTATTGTTAAACATAACAAAATATAATAAATAGTAGAAATATAAATAATATGCTATAAAATGTTAATAACACATTTTTTTAACCAAAACATAATTAAAGGTATTACATTATTGAACTCTTATCTAAGAGATTAAGAATTTAGTCTCTTTATATTTATTTATATTTATTTATTTAGAAATAAACTTAAAATATTAATTATATTTTGTAATGTAATATAAATACATAGTCTTTAAATAATATACATATATGTATAATATTTTTTAAATTATTATTAAAGGCCATTATGCTGGCAATGTCAAATATTTCTTTCATGACGTTGTTATATTTTATACTCGGAATTCTAGAGCATCTCAAAAGAAAATTCAAGTTTTTCCATTGTCGGGATTGTGATTTTAAAACTGAACCTTGACATTTAGCGAGGAGTGGATATTCGACTCCAATTAATTCAGAATCCTATCCTATTATACAATGCAGTATTTTTGATATACAGCAACGTAGAAATCAAAGTAAAAATTGAAAATATTAGCATATTACATTAATATATGCTATATATTAATAATTAATAAATATATGCTATAATTAATAAATATATGCTAAACATACGCAATATTAAATTAAAATGCAAGATGTTACATATGCCTTACTAGATTGTTTCAAAATCTTTTACTTTTTCATTACATTTGACATGCTAATATTTTAATGTAATATTATTTCTATTGGATAATGACGTTTATCAGAAAATGTTAGCTGCGACGCATGAGAAAGTTGCATAAATTATATAATGATATTATTGTTAGGCATAATGTTCAATGTTAAATGTATTAAGTGCGGACAATTATAAAAGAAAGATACCAAGAAGCATTCAATGATTAGAAACAAAGGATCAAATTTTTTTGCAGGAAATTGTTTATATTAACAATTAACAAATTAACATATCAGCATATTATGTTAATGACTTAATAAAATATTATTGATCTTTTTACATAGAGCTTATAGACATGGAAGGGGAGCATATACTTTCCGTGAGCTGAAACTGTGTGACAAGGATAGATAGAAGATGACTTTGGTCCGTTATGCGCATACGTTAAATCGTACACACACGAAAATGCACAATATACGTAAACAACCTACAAATACAATCTCGCTTTGGCCACTCATGCGCAATTCGAGGAAAAGTCATTGAACGAGACAGAATGACAGTTTCTTTGGTTTCTTCTGTCTCACTTCTTGGACACACTTGTGTCGGGCCTTTTCCCCTTCCATGTCTATAAGTTCTATGTCTTTTTGACGTTTCTTTTATCGATAATGAAAGGGCACAAGCAAAGCAAGTTAAATGTTCCAAAGTTTAACTGTATTAAATAATTTAATTAAATAACTCTCTTTACGAGATCTTCAACGCGCTTTTAAAAACATGTTTTTAACAGTTCGTCACATGTTGATTATTAGCATAAGAAATATTCCATAAAAAATTGTATGTTTAAAGATCAAGATCAAACGATGATGCAGCAATGAGACAATACATTTAATTGCGAATAAAGTTGACATTGTGCACAGTGATTGTAATAGTTATTACATTCATGTTTTAACTTTCAACAAAATGTTTTATAAATGTTTTATAAATTGACTAATATAAGAGCAAGCGTGCATGATAACTGTTTTTACGAAAAAATTGCATTTAAAAAGTAGTTTAAAGTTCAAAATGACAAAGTAAGGCGATGTGTTTAGACAAATGCTAGTGAAGGTGACGTATATTATAATAATTATTACATTAATGTTACAATTTTCATATCAAATTTTTTTACAAATTAACTAATATATATGTTAAAGGGATAAAGATGGAGATTTGAAATAATTGAGTAACATCTAGCAAGCTATGATTGCAGTATGCGTATAGTTCAAACAAATGTAATGTGTAAAGCTCTCGCTGCGAATTTTGCGAGTTCCCTGCGCATGAGAACTCTCGCCGCGAATTTTGCGAGTTCTTTGCGAGTTCCCTGCGTATGAGAACTCTCGGGGAACTCGCAGAGAAATCGTGGAACTCGCAAAATTTACAGCGAGAGTTCTCTGCGAGTTCTGAGATGTTTCTGAGAGTTCTCGAGTTCAACCCAAGAAGGCTGCTGTCCGCCTATAAAATTCAGCTGCTGTGCGCTGAGAGAGCTGCTGTAACTTTCAAAACCTCATAACTCCGCAAGTACATAACGAAAATATTTTTTTTTCAAAATCTTTATTATACTGTTTTGGAAAGCTGTTGAGGTAAGCTATAAGAATATGCATTAAAAAAGAGGGTTTCCATTTAAAAATTTCAAAGTGATCTTTACGTGACCTTGAGGAAGCTCTACAAGGTCATATTGATATTACTATGTAATGCACTACTTAAAACCGTGCAACTTTTATGTTTAACATTTTTTCCATCTTACTCTCCATTTTACATATTTAAAAAGTTATTTAGAGGTACCTTATAAGGATACATACATACATACATACATACATACATACCGACTTTTTCTCGATGTGATTTTTGGACGTTTTAGAACATTCTAAACATATTTTAAAAGAAAACTGGATAAAAAATTTTTTCACGAAAACAAAGCTTCTTTTATGAGAAAGCAATTATAAAAATTTGTTAAATTTTTATTGGTGCAATTTTTATAGAGATATAATGCACACAGGCTGATACCAGAAGTATCATATGTGTGCATTGCAAATTGTTAAAATTATTGTGTTTCTTAAGAATATTATTTAACAAAGTTTTATTTTCTTCGTACGAGTTTAAATTTTAATTCACTACTCATTAATGTGAAATAACTCATGACTTTTCCAACCAGTGTAATAATATTTAAATTGTACACGGAAATCACGTGCCTTAGATAACATATTGCATATTTCAAAATTCTAGAATAATGGAAACTATTCAATCTGTTCTATAAATATAACATGGCACTTTGCATTTAAATATTTAGGTATTTAGTTTTAGCTGTTTTATTGTTACGAAATATATTTTTTGTATATACACAATATACATATATGCGCATGCATATGTGCACGTAGCAAGTTTGTATTTTAATTATATATTTAATTGCCAACAATTTTGTAATTATTGTATTATAAATCTTGTCAAAAAATTTGTAAGTTTACATTTGAAATGATATTGAGACGAAAAAACATTATATTTAATTAAATGTTTTGTTATGTATAAATAATTTCATTACTTTGTATAAATCTGCTTTATTAAACTAGCAATTAATTACAATTATGTTTCCATCTTTATGGAGAAATTAGAAAGATGTCTCCATCTTTCTAATTTAGCACAAGTATAAAGTGTGCTGTGAGTTTCTAAAATATTATAATAAATCTTGTTTTAATTATTCTTTAAATAGATTACAATACGAACAGAATAATCATGTAACAATAAACCTCAAAATTTTTGACGGTTTATGCACTACCAAAGATGTCCTCGTAAGGAATACGTTTAAGTATCTCGTTGGAAAGCGAAATGACCTGTTTGGAGACCACTTCTTCCAGAATGGGTTTAACAGTTTTAAGAACCTCCTCTTGATTGTTGCCCAGAAAATTCTTAATAATGTCGCGCATTTGGTTTAATTCCACTTGATTTGAAAACTCAAGTTCATATCCTTTGATGTCAAGATTTGTCTTTATCTTAGATATATACCCATATTTTTTGTCGTTTTTAGTAACCAGTGTGAAGTCTGCGTTTACCTTTGCTCCTACATTATCTGCAAAATAGATATAGTTTAACAATTTCAATGGGAATATAACAGAAATACATAGTTTAAACATTTTTAGTCAAAACAGATATCTTTAAAATATTATCTTATTTTAATCAATCGATTATTTTATTATACCTGAAGTTACATAAAACGGCGCCGTGGTAATGATGGGCACCAATACACGTGCATTGAAATCTAAAGTGCTGTTTATTTGAATTTGCTTAAATGTTAAATCGATATTTAAATTGAGATTATCGACATCTGCATGAAGAAGATTCACGACGAAATCGCATAGTCCCGACACTTTCGTATCCTTGAGATATAATTTGGTACTGGGTGTATCAAAAATTACTAAATTATCAAGAATAAGTGGATTAGCCGATGGAACATTCAGTTCTGGAATTCCTTCGTTACAGATTTTATCCTTCAAACTTTCAATGTTGCTTAAGACGCACTGATCGAATGATTTCTCACGTCCGCACGTATAAATGCTGGAGGCTGTAAAAAATGTATCATCTTCATTAACTTTTAATTTGTTATGAAATTGTGAATGTAATAAAAAAAAGGAGTAAAAAAGCAATGACGCAACTTCAAGGAAATATGCGATTTTTAGAATACAATTGTTAATAATAATTTATTTATAACATAAAGTTAAATAGAACATTAAAATCACATCTTAAAAATCTAATATGGCTAAAAGCTTCTTTTAGACATGAGACAGACGGACAGACAGACAGACAGAGACAGAGAAGTTGATGCTGATGAATTCTCTCTCTCTCTCTCTCTCTCTCTCTCTCGATGTTGATGTTGATGAATTGTTGCTCTCGATATTGATATTGATGTTGATGACGTAGACATAGACAGTCGTTGAGATTGTCTCAACATACGCTATTGCACTAAAAATAAAAAGTATAATATGCTACATATTTAAAGAAAATGGAGGTGACTTAAAAATCTCCGAAGCGCCTCCACTTACTGAAAAAATTGCTAGTATATCATGGTATCTTCTTGATATCCAACAATTGTTCGTAATTACAATTTTTTCACATTCCTAAAAATAGTTGAGAAAAAATATTCGAGGTAGACAAAGTTATTGTCTCACCCTGTATATTGTAATCATTGTCGTAATAAAATCCAAATTAGAACAACAAATTAGTCGTATAAAAATCTCGTTCTATCATCAAGATCAATCACTAAACTTAAAAATAACAATTAACATCCTGCCTTGGCTCTTATTCCTTTATTCCTTCGACTGTGACTTCATATCAGAGCTTTATGAATTTATTAATTGTTTAAATTACGGGGATAAAGGGTTTCTGATTTCGTTAAATATATGAGGGGCGGGGCGGGGGCAATAAGAGTGATTATCATTTGTTCTGTGTTGGAAATCTGGCAACGATGTCGGCACACAGTTCTATTTTGAATTTAATTACGATATGTGACATTTGTGAAATAACGTTAGACTGTTTATGGCTATGAATATTTCTACATGTTTCAGTGATCGAATTGGTTGAGACGCACTAAAATTGTTAGACATGTATAGGCTGTCTTATCGATGAGTTTTTAGGCGAGGAACGCCTAATAGATTTCTCTTTCGCACAAGATATGCGTGACGTCACGCGAAGAGTGGGGATGAGACAACTTGTATATGTCTAACAATTTTGGAGATGAAGGGCCAGGTTCAAACCTGGCTGAGGTAATATTTTACGCAATAAATTTAAAAATTAAAATTAATTAGACATTTAACATCATGTCTTGGCCCTTATTCCTTTATTCCTTCGACTGTTAAAAATAACATTTTATCAAAACGTATTCTTTAATTGTTACCTATACTGAGAAAAATTTCCATAGGATAAACCGATTAAATAGCGTATCCGATTGTTAATTTTGTTATCCGATTAAATGATAGGTACCTTTATCCGATGAAATACAGTTGTCGCGAAAATTTTATCGAAAAGTTAGTCGCTCTCTGTATAGCCGTTGAATTTTCATCGGATAAAGAGGAGAAAGTAATGGTATATCCGATGAAAGGTAATAATAACCGTTGAAATCGACAACGAATATTGTCGAAGAGGTACGAACATTTCCGATTCCGCGGGAACTAGCCTGCGCGATTGCATCATTCGTCAGTTTCGTCACCATCGTCACTGTGCAAGTTCTATCAAGCGCGAGGTACGATTGGTGTCGCGACGATTTTCAGAAGTGTCTTTCTCGTTCTCCTAAGTTACTCGAACCGAAGTTTTGTCTTACGTGAAGATTTTCAACCTAACACACACGAATTCAACTTACATTGCGTGCAATTGTGTGTTCTTTTTGCTGTACTGGATGTACTAGTACAGAGATTAGTTTTTCTCTCTACATTGAAAGATGTAAGATAACCTCTATACTAATGCAGTTAATGCAGCAAAAAAACAAACCCATTATTTCTGGATTGATAATGGACGAGTCGGTATGTTTATAATTATTGCGCAATTCTATCCGTGTGCTATATTCCGATACACTACCAGTACTAAAATTGATTAAAATATTCGTGTTACAGCTATAATATTTTCAGTACTGGCAATGAATATACATATATATCGGAACGCAACTATAGAGAATCGCGCAATCAAAATAATTGTGATTGAATAGTACACATTCAATACTATATTACTATACTTTAGTATATATTTTAAATAAATTGTATC